GTACAGATGAATGGAAATCACTAGAGTTTCCTGTTGAAGTACTACAATTATAACTTACAAATGTTAGTCCAGTGGCAGTACTGACTGTGTCGTCAATCTTTCAGTTGGAACCCTGCAGGAGCTATTCGAGCTGGGAGAAATCCTGCAACCTACAAATCTCAAGATGAAACTGTACATGTAAACGGTAAGCTGTTCGCAACCAGATATAAAAACTGACAATTTGTCATTTGTGATAGCTGCCAGTTGCGCTATACCCAACCATGTCAAAGAAAAAAGAATTACGAACCCAAGTTTACTTCTACATGATTATACCATAAAGCTTTCTTTTACATTCTAGTACATGAATATGTCTATCTTTACAACTTGATGTATATCCGTGTCATGTATAAACATTCATATGTTATGACTAAAACTCTCTCTTTTGTTTTCTTTCTCCCCAGTGACATTGAAATGAAGTCTCTTTTCTTACAGGTTTTGAGTAATGGATTCGTTTACATTATTTCATTCTTATCATATATTTTCAGGGGATGGCCTCTATGATTCAGCTGTGAGATTCCGCATACCTGAGCTTCCAGCTTTTGCGTTGGAGTGTCTTCCTAACCGTAACTCATTAACTTATGGGGAGCTGTATGGAATAGGACATGAAGCATCGACCATATTCCGTGGAACTCTCCGCTATGAAGGCATGTCATGCTTGTCATTCTTGAATTTTGTAACTCTAATTCAGATAAACTTCAATGCTAGAAACTTGACTGTTTGGACAAAGTGCGAAGAGGGTGAATCATTACTAGGATTTTTATGTTTTTGGAACTGATCTCTCAGTATTTTTATTTCTGTACAGGTTTTAGTGAGATAATGGGGACACTTGCGAGAATTGGTCTATTCGATGCCAATGCTCATCCGCTTCTTGAACATGGAAGTCGACCCACATTTAGAGCTTTCCTCTGTGAACTTCTAGAGATTAATACTGATGCTACGGGTAGAGCTCTAGTTGGAGAGAAGGAAATAAATGAATGGATTGTAAAGCTCGGACACTGCAAGGAGCGAAGAACAGCAGTTAAGGCTGCCAAAACTATAATGTAAGCTTGGTTTACATTCTGATATAACTTACCCATTCTTTTGACGTCTCTCAAATCCAAAGGTAATCTATGACTTAGGGGTAGAAAATTTCACATGATCTCTCTCATCTGTATCAGGTTTTTGGGGCTACACGAGCAGACAGAAATTCCTGTTTCCTGCCAAAGTGCGTTTGCTGTAACCTGTCATCGAATGGAAGAAAGGCTGGCATATTCTAGCACAGAACAGGTAATATGTATTACTTTTTTTTCCTCTGTTAATGAAAATCTTTTTATTAATAATGTAACGAGTCATTCAAGAAATATCATAAAGAAGAATAATAACTGCTCAGTGATAAGTAGAGAAGAACACAGGCAATTTCTAAATATAATACATATTTGTCTCTGAAAAACAAAGTCACTAGACAAGAAAATCCTGCCACGAGCTTCTAAACAGCACATAACTGCAATAGAACAACATCCAACTAGCAGTGGGATAAGCAGCCCAGTAGAAATTATCAATCCGTTCCAAAACCACCAAAGAACAGGAGCCATCAAACAATCACCACCATACATAACGACACTAGGAACAACATAGACGCCAACCTCAAATCTCACCCAAGAGAAACTACCATAGAACAAAAGCTATTACACACAAAAAACAAACTAAAGCTAACCTCAATTTTCACTTAACTAGAACCATCAAACGGTTCCACAACCACCATAGAACAAAATCCATCAAACCATTATCACCTTCTTGCCCTTTCTTCTCCCCTTTATCGGCAATTTTTTGATTTAAATTTGATGGTCGGCTCAAATAAATCCACCTCACTCCGCACCTTGTCATATTTCGGTAATATTCTGCCTTCACCATTCGACTCCCACACTTCCGCCACTACAGTAACTCCAACTTCAACCCTCCCTTCCTTAGCTTGGGCATGTTCGGGCAGAGGTAGGTTGGGTTGGCATATTGCGTTACTACCCAGATAATCCAATAATGTCGAGCTCACCATGGGCAAGACGAAGGTCCGGCTGTGAAAGACATTCATCAGCATTGAGGAACCCAGAATTAAACTCTTCTGTAGAGCCCAAACGGTGTTGGACTTGTTGGTTTCCGTGGCCCAGCAGGAATAAATCATCCAACCTATCACGACTTGGGTGGTGCGGATCCTCCTCAGCATACAAGATTGGAAAATTATTACTTGGGCCACTAAAGCCTTCTCCGTTCTGCATTACACATGGTCCAGATGAAGATGGGCTCAACCCAATCGCAACAGGGACAGCGTTGGATGGTATTGGGCGGAGGGCTTCATGTCTAAGCCCAGATGAGGATGCTGCACATGCAGGTATGATGCGGCCGCCGTGGTTACTGCTCTTAGCCACCATGTCCAAACCACCAACCGCCTAGGAGACTGATGAACTGCTGCAATCGCTTGGGCCATCCTGCCAGCGTGACCACCCCGGAAAATTGAGCATGCAGTCCGGGGAGACCTCCCTGGCATAGGCGGTGAAAACTTGGTTGCCAACCACAAGGCGGAATGATTCTTCAATCTTGGTTCAACTCTCAGTGTAAAGGAGCATAGTGGCTCGTTCGAAAGACTGGAGATTGAGGGTTTTATCACCGAGGCAGATTAACGAAACCCATAGGCTGCCTATTCTTTGAAAAGTAACCCTGTTCCAGGCATGCACAGGGATGCCTGAAACTGAAACCCAGCAATGCTTGTCTTCATGCCCATGCTAGGAGCCCACTCCACCAGATTTTTGAACCACTGAGATAGGCCATTGGTTTGCTTGGCTTCATCAAGAGCTTTCCTGTCGTGAAAGGAAGTGGGACATTGTAAGCCCGAGAGCCTTCTGATTGTAAGACCCTGAATACCACTCTCCTTAATCTGCTGCGAAATGACCTCAGGCTCCTTATAATTTTTACTGGTTCCAACAATACAACATTCCAGCCAATGCAAGGCTTCACACTTGACGTGACCGGTGCATATTTTTCCCAATCCATCCACAGGAGGGCGTGGGGGAAGCGGTTCGGTAGTTGTTTCTTAGGTTCCTCCCAATGCCTGCAAATATGTTTTAGGTCTTTTACCTTGGACAGAGATTGAGGCTTCAATTGGTACCATGGGTTGAAGCTGCGCTTGGGTTTGGGGATTTCTTGGTTGAATTTGATTTCCAGGGTTTGGGTCTCTGGGAGGTAGGCCCTTCCTTTTCCAGTATGAATCCCCTGGTTTGAATTTTGCACGGTTAGCACTGATTTTGTGATCAAAAAACCAAACCCCATTGAGATTCCATATTGTTCTCCGTGCCTCAGCCTTAGATTGAAACATTACAAAGCCAAATTTTCTTCCCCTGTTTGACTGTTTGATAGGGATGAGGTATCCATTACGTAACCAAAGTCCTCACAAATAGTGCGCTGTCAATGATGATTAGCCCTGGGGCGAAGATTGCCGAGGTAGACTCAGACGATTTCACCGTTCCGATCGTGTCGCACTGATCCATTCCCACCTGTACCTCTTTGTCGTGGCCTACCCAGCCGAGAAAAGTTACATAAAACATAAATGATGACTTAAATATATTGATCAGAAAAGTTACATTAATTTCACAAGCTGTGTGATTTGATCCTCAGGATATGGTTTTGTTGCATCATGAAGTGGAAGTAGATTTCCCGGATAGCCAACAAACAGAGCACCATTCGGCCACTTTATTGGAATTTGGGAAGGCTAAGAATGGGAAAATGATCTCTGCTATGGCTCTTACTGTCGGTGTTCCAGTCGCAATTGGAGCTCTGGTACTTGAACATATATATACATATGCATATTTGTTTATATATATATATATATATATATATATA